CTGCTAACCCGATTAGGCAACTTTGAAGAGGATCACTCTACCGGTAAGCAGCCCTTGAACTGTATAAGGACAATGTGGTGAGACAGGGTATATAAGAGTTGCGTCCTGCTTGGTATTTATACCCCTAGGCTTGGCAGCTTATGCCAACTAGCCCGTAACAGAATGTCTACTAGGAGATTAAGGGTTATTCTTTAAGGAGTCATGTCCCATTTGACCATATGGCCTCTAGATTTGATAGTGTCCAACTGGTGGCAAACTGAAGCATTTGCTAGGGAGTACATACCTGTATCAATCGGTCCAAGCTGCAGCTGGAGTCAGGTAGTAATAAGATGAGATGTGATAAGAATCCTAATGACAGTAGCAAGTAATAAAATGCCTTTCAAATAGATTACACCTGGATTGCAAACCCATCTCCGGGGTGTTAGTTGGTAACCAGATTAGAATTAAAGGCGATGCTAGGGTTATAATAGCTAATATAGTTAGTTAGACTCTTCATGTAATAATTGTAACTTCAACACTAAGTTAATAAAGTTTGCATATAATGCACTTTGCCTCTAAAAAAAAAAAAACAAATTAAAGAAAAATTAGAAATTCAAACTTAATAAAAATAATAAAAATACAAGAGAGTTTCAAAAGAAAAGAAAATATTAAGTTTTTTAAAATAAATTAAAGAAAAAAAATAAAGATAAATAAAGATACTTTATTAGAATAAATCATAACAATAATCTATATATCATAATATTTTAAACTTATTTTTCTTGTAAAAGAGATTAAAAATAAGTAACTATATTTATCTTTAAAATTACACTTAAAGACAATTGTCTAAAATAAATATTCAAGTCTATAGAATAATTTATACATTTAATACAATACTTAATGTATCACATTTGATTGTTTTTACAAAAAAATTTAATAAACAGTACAAGGTTATTTGATTATAAAAAAAAATGATGATAGTAATTGTTATGAAAAAGTATAAAAAAGTATAAACTTTCTTTTTGTATTAATCATTAAAATTTGAAGATCTATAGTATTTAAATTTTATAAAAAAAACCATCAAAAATTACTATACTATTTAATTTTAATTTTTCGAAAACTACTTTTAATGAAATTTCATAATGATTAAAATTTTTTATTGAATATAAAGTTAAACCAAAAAATATGATTTTTTTTGAAAACGATCAGTAAATCATTTGTATGACCTAATGGCAAATTTAAAAAATATACTGTATAAATATTAACGCCTATATTTAAAATCAACTTCGATTTATATAAATTTTAAATTAACAATCATTTAATAATGATTATACATTAATATTTGCATAAAGAAAACTTTTGAATGTATCAAGTTTAATGCATAACTCTATTTTCGATTTACAGTATGACGTATACGACTAAATTCAATAATATATTATTTACATATCACACTTATTGTCGTTTTCATTTCCAAACTAATTTGTTCAGATCTACAAAGAAATACTGGTGATTTCGCAAAAAAAAAAAAAAAATAATAAGATAAATTCGAAAAATCAATTATAGTCCAAGCAAAAAATATAAAAGAAAAAAAGAAAATCGATTAATAGTTCTATCTGATATTGAAAATCTTCAAAGAAAAAAGAAAAAAACAATCTTACGTGCGAATTTAATAAGGAAATATACGTACATATAATTAAATATATGCTAAATGAGTTTTTTGTGATGTCGGTACGTAAGTAAAAGAAATATTAACGTTTTTTGCTTTATTATAACATTGACATGTTTATGTATCTTGCTCTCATTAATTCTTCGATCCAATCCATGTTACCACAACCCATAACTCTCTTCATATTTTCGCCATCTCTTATGTCGTCCCATTTCATGACTGCATATTCCAAAGCGGCTTCTTTTAAACGAGAATCGCCAACCTCCCAAGCCAACATCAATATTTCATCCCAATTATCCCCATTGACCATGTCGGCGATCCGATCCGCTACCATTTCGCCAAATCTTTCAAGATTTAACATGTCAGCCTTCGAGTAAACATCTTTTAATACATCAAACTCCAATCCTTCTTCCAGCTTGCCTGTATAAAGGTAATATAGTATAGAACGAAAGGTTGTATATTCCATGTGTTTTATCGGTATTGTCTTCATTTGGCCTTCTTTCCATTTGTCACCCAATAATTTTTCAAAATAAGTGGATCTTGTAGCCAGAATTATACGATGAGCTTTAATTTTTGAACCACAATCAAAAGTGAATTCCACGTCGCTAAATTTTCCGTCATCCAAATGTTGCTTAAACGAGGGAAATTCTGGTTCGGTATGTTCAATTGATTCATCCGTTGAGCCAATAGCTGAAGAAACGTTGAAAATTTGCACTCTTATAAGTAAATCAATTTCTGCTGTATTATCATTATTTGGAAACAAACTCTCAAAGGAGCAGAAGCGATGGCGACCAAAATCGTCCAATCCATCAAATTCAAATTTCATAGTGAAGGTCTCATTTCGAATTAAAAGGGGAGTTGGTGAAGAAGAAGAGGATGAGGTTGGATCCGAAGTAAGACGAAACACTTCCAATTTAAAAGTTTTTTCTCTCCATGTTATATTTGTTTGTTTTTCATAGGGAGTTTGTATAGCTACCAAATATAAAGAAATATGAGTTTTCGCAGCCTCATTGACACCATTAGGATATAGTTTGATTCTCCACAAGTACGGGTGGTCATTCTGTTTGTTTTTCACGGAGGAATCATTTGTTAATGGTGGACGTGGAGACCAGAATCTGTCACTTAATACAAAGCTAGTGTTCGGATAAAAGGTGACAAGTTCATTAAAACTTCTGATCGTCCAAGAATAAGTGAAGTGGTTTTGAGCATATTTCGAAGGTTGTCGTGTTGCCTGATCTGTAGTCATATCACGAGTTTCGTTGCTTCTGACTGGAACCGAAGGTCCACTTTCCCTATTAAGTCGTGACCGCGAACGGATAAACCGTTTTCTGGTTGAAGGAGGCATATTGAAGAAAAAGATATTGTCAGAAAGTGGAATAATGTAAAATACTCTTGATGAGATGTATTAATAAAAAAAAACAAAGAGTTTTAAGTTTATAATATGTTAACCACTTTAAGGAACACACCAATTACGTACAAAGAAAATTTGTTGGGCATCAAGAAACTACTCGCGGATACGGGAAAGAGAAAAACATTTGAAACAATAAAGCAAAAAATGATGACGTTGAATTAATCACAAATACGTATTTCCCCGAAAATATGGACCAGTGATGCA